GTGTGTGTGTGTGTGTATTACTGTCATCAAGTCGATTCGTACAGTGATCCCATCGGTCAGAATATCCCTTCCCCTTTGGGTTTCCGAGTCTGTGTATCTTTATAAGATCAGGCAGCCTCGTCTTTTTCCCACAGAAAGACAGGTCGGTTTAAACTACTGACCGTTTGGCTAATCATCCAAAAGATAGCCCACAATATCATCAGGGCTGTGTGTGCGTGTGTGTGTGTGTGTGTATTTTTTTCCCCGTGGGTTATTAGTTTTGGTTTGGTTCTCATTAGCCAGAATTAGGTCCCATGTTTAAAATTAACTAATTACTGACAAATAGAATGCTGGCACCATAATGGGTTTCTGGCAAGCAATTGGAGGCAATGTAAAGTGTCTCTTTAAGTAGTAAATGTTGCAGGGTTGGCTCACCCTTTTAAATATGATTATTTCTAAATTTGTGTGCATCTTAACTATCTTAAAAATAATTTCGGGTACTATACATCAAACTTAAAGGTAGGGACAAATTGTTTTGATTTTTTTAAATGAAATGTTTATAAGATTCTGTTTCAACAGTTACAAATTTAAATGGAATTTTGACATTTCATGTCATAAGCTATTGAGTAACTATTACATCTGTTTTAAGAAAGCTTTAAATTTCTATAATTTAAAGTTATCTCTTCTTATAATTAAAGCATTTATTAGGTTTGTTCATTGATATTTTTGTTTTAAAGTGAAAAGGAGGCCTGGAAAACAGAATCTGAAACAATTAAAGAAGAAAAGAGAAAACTTGAAGATCAAATCCAACAAGATGCTATAAAAGTAAAAGAATATAATGTAAGAGAAACACTTTCAAGAATAGAATACAGTACTGTGCAAACTAAGAGGGTTAGGTTCAACAGAATTTGGGCCCAGCTACCTCTACCAACCGATCTGAAAGGGAGGGGTCACAGTAGCAGGTCTTAGTTGGCATGGGAGAAAAATGTAGAACAAAAATAAACAGCACCAAAGAGACTAGGCTTTCTGGTCCAGTGAGACCACTGGACCGCCCAACTCTGTGACCCGCAGTCACTCTTCAGATCTGGAGCCGAGCTCACCCGAGGCTCAATCACTAGTCAAACAAGGAGCACTTTATACGGGGAACAGCACTTTTGCTCATTTAAGGTCGGTAATCAGTGAGATAATTGATGTTATTTACAGGATTATGTATTATATGTGAGATGAGATAAAATATGTATGAAATGTTGAATGTAAAACTGACGATTGCTCTGTAAGCCTCCACCTAATTCACAATAAAAAAATTTTTAAATAATATAAATATGTCTTTTGCAGAATTTACTTAGTGCTCTTGAGGTGGATCCAGATGAAATGAAAAAAATACTTGCAGAAAATAGTAGAAAGATCACGGTCTTAAAAGTGAATGAAAAGTCACTCATAAGGCAATATACAACTTTAGTAGAAATGGAACGACAACTGAGAAAAGAAAATGGGAAACAAAAGAGTGAATTGATGTCAATGGAATCAGATGTTTATGAAAAAATTGGATGCTTGCAAAGATTTAAGGTATACCTGATTTTTGTTTTGATTCTTATTTTAAAATTTTTCAAAAATGGAGAGGATAATATCATGAACACCCATTACCTGGGTGTTAACATTACAGTTAACATGTAGTAACATTTCACTGTAATTTTTTCATTTGATTTTTTTGTAGAAATATTTAAGTTGAAGGCACTTCTCCCCTATTTTATTATGTGTTTAAAAAAAAAACTTAAGATATATTTTTGCATAACCCAAATGCCTTTATCAGAGCTATCAAAATGAATAGATATATATCTAATATTGTCCTTGCATCATTTGACTTGTTCCTCTCTCCCTACACCCTGGTGTGTAATGGTTACTCATTGGGGTGCTAACCATAAAGTCAGCTGTTTGAAACCACCAGTTGCTCTGTGGGAGAAAGATGGGCCTCTCTACTCATATAAAGAGTTACAGTTGCAGAAACCCAAAGGAGGCACTTCTACCCTCTCTTATAGGGTCACAGTGACTTGTAATGGACTCATTGGCCGTCAGTTTGGTTTTAGAGTTTTCTATCCCTTGTATTTACTATGACAGCTTTGAAGCTATAATTTAATTAGAATTAAACTTTTTGTGTGTCAGGAATACTTGTTGCTCTATAATTTTTATTACAAGATTTTATGGGACATAATGTGTAGTTGTCCTACATTTCATGATTGAATACTGTTACTAAGTGATTTACACAACTGATAATAGTTACATACCATGCGTTGATCAGTTCTTTGTCAGTCTTCCTAATGGCTCTAGCATTCCGTTATGATTGTTGCCTGGCTCAGTTATTTCATTAGGAGTAGCCATATTGTGATTTCCTAATTATATCATTCTTTCTACACGTATTAGGAAGCATTGTTTTCTCATTAGCCCAGGCTATTTGGTTGCCCTGAAGTGTAGTTCCTCTCAGAAAAGCAAGATCAATGCTTCCTTCTTTCCTTTAATTACCAGCTTTGAGAATATAGAATTGATGTACTATGCTTCTGCTTATTTTGTTTTCCCCTCAGATTTATCTTTTTCTTAAATGTCACACAATAGACTCATAAGCTTTTAAATAGTCACTTATCTCCATTCCCGAGTGCCATTATCCATCACCAGCTTTGCCTGCTAGGAGCCCTTAAAGCAGGATCTTTTGTCTCTTTATCAGGAATATACTGGTCTTTGAGCCAAACTGTATTGTTTTCTGCACAATAATACATCCTGTGTACCTCATTACAGTACTTCATTTTGTAGTGGATAAAAGTCTACATTCTTTATCTGTGTTATATCATAAATTTGGTTATTCCTCGTTTTTTCTTTCTTTATCAGGGTCCATCAGTCTTGAGTGTACTTGTTTCTGGAATTTGTAATTACACAGAGCAACTAAAAGTTGAAATTTTTCCCCTGGTGCTACAGAAACATTGTAGTTCCTTAAATAAATATATTTTAAAAATATATTTTAAGTATATTTAATAATTTATTTTTAATAGTTCTGATGGCAACTATCTGAAACAAAGCTGATGACAAGGACGTGAATCAAATGATATACAGACTTGATGTTGTTTATTAAAGATACTTGTGTTAACAATGGATTCTTTTCCTCCCTAGATACTCTTTTCTTCTTTTTAGGGGAAAAATAATTTTTCTTTTGCTAGAAAGCTAGTCTAACTGCAATAAGCAGAAATAGTGAAGCTGTAAAAGTTGGTTATAGAAATAACAATTTTGCCGTTCAACTATTAAAAGACAAGTTTTTTATCTTATAAAAGCTGTCCAAAGGTACATTCTGAATGACATATTTAATTTAATTATAGTTCATAATAATGGGAGTTATAAAAAAGGAGCACTTGTGATATCGTTGTTGTCTGAGCTGTGGTCAGCATGGTCTGCAGTCCACCACCACTAGCAGCTTCTCCAGAAAGAGCCGGGGCTTTCTCCTCTAGTAACCGTTTCCGAAACACTCTAGAGGCGCTGTGAGTCAGCCTTGGCTTGATGTCAGCGACTGTGGTTTGGTTTATGGTTGTTTGCCTTTATCTCTATTATGATTTAGGATTTCGAAAAATGATTATTTCTCATATGAAAGAAATCAATTTGTTGCTACAGATTATTGATCTTTTCCATGTGGGAAATATTTATGTTTTTTAAGTGGTTGTAACATCTGTTTTTCCAAAAGTTGCATGTGCTTAACCAGAAGAAGTTACATAAAAATAACTCAGTATATTCTTGTTTACCTAGGAAATGGCTGTCTTCAAGATTGCAGCTCTTCAAAAAGTTTTAGATAATAGTGTCTCTCTGTCAGAACTAGAATTGGCCAATAAACAATACAATGAGCTGACAGCTAAGTACAGGGACGTCTTGCAAAAAGATAATATGCTTGTTCAAAGAACAACTAACTTGGAACACTTAGAGGTAAGTTTATGTTATCCGTAGCCCAGAGATATTAACCACTCTACTTCAGTGTCTCTCTGTATTTCTTTGCGGACAAGGGTTTATAGATCTTAATGTAGTAAAATTTATTTGTATCTACATAAATGTAAGGATTGTCATTTTCAGATGAAAGTTAATTTTAAATATTTTGTTCCTGAACGTAAAGAAACATACACGTATAGCATAGTATGTATGTTTCTATGGTTGCAGTGTGACTTCTGGACAGTTTCACTGGGTCATCTTCCATGCTCCACTCTCACAATGTAGCTGAATCAAGGCCCTTTTCATCAGGCACTTAAAAAAGGAGGCGAACATGTCATTAGACGCCTATCCCTTCTTCTTATACCTGCTCCCGGAGTAAATTATTCTTGTGGTCCTTAGATTCTCTTCCTTGGAATGGATGTAAATGATAATGAATGTGTTATTATTATTAATGGTTCTTTGTGGATTATAGATAAACTTTGCAATTCTCCTTTTACTGTAGGGTGGAGTATTACAATATCATTCAAACAGTCTGTAAATATGGATTAGGCATTTTCCTGTGCTCTTGCCACTGGATAGCTGTACCTTTTCCAGTAGACAAAACTAGTTGTGATGTGGCTTAGTCTAAGACCCTTTCATAGGAACAGGATGAGATCTAAATGATGTGGGCTCAAAAGCGTTTCCTTCTGTATCTCTACATGTTCACTAAACAAATCATCATTTTGAATAGCTTTCAATGACTTCTAAAAAATTAACTTAGTAATTATGAATAATATCTCTGACTCGTTTTAGTATATTTTACTATTGTCGAAAAGATATGTTAACTTTTCTAAAAAGTTCTGAATGCTTAATTATGATCACTTCTTTTTGTTCTCATTCTCTGTGTCTTCTCTCTGCCCTCTAATGAGTAAATCCTACACAAGAATTATCTTGTACAATATCAAGAAGAAATTTTTATTTTGATCTGTTTTTCCATAAACCTTTATCTTTCCTCTTTGGTCAATATTCGAGCTTATATTTTAAAACTGGTCGACTGTCCTAAATACTAAAGATGAAAAAATAAATGCTGTCTTTCTGATTCTTACCTTTAGAATCAAAGGTGATGTTAGGCGCTGTTGGTTTGGTTCCTATTCCGCGTGGCCCCGTGTACAAGAGACCAGCACACTGCCTGACCCTGCGAGCTTACTCACTGCAGCCGCTCCTTCAGCTCGTTTCCTTGAGGGGCTCGCTCTGTTTTGTTGCCAAGCATTATACTCTTTGTCAGGGACTGATTCCTTCTCATGAGATGTTCAACGTATGTCAGACGAAGTCTCACTCTCTTTGCTTCTAAGGAGAATCCTGGCTGTACTTTTCATTCTTCTTTACCAACAATGTAATTCAAAGGCATTTATTCTTTGGTTTTCCTTATTCATTGTCCAACTTTTGCATTCATGAGATTGAAAATACCATGACTTGGGTCAGACATGACCCTGAAAGTGTTCCTGAAAGTGACATCTTTGCTTTTTAATATTTAAAAGAGGTCTTTTGTAACACATTTGTCCACTGCAATATGTCATTTGATTTCTTGATTGCTCCTTCCGTGAGTGTTGATTGTAGTTTCAAATCAAATGACATCCTTGACAACTTTGATCTTTTCTCTGCTTAGCATGACTTTGTCTCTTGGTCTAATTGTTAAAATTTTTTTTTGATCTGTAATCCATACTGAAAGTTGCAGTTTTTTATCTTCCGTAGCGAGTGCTTCAAGTCTTCCTTGCTTTCCCAAGCAGGTTTGTGTCATCTGCATATTGCAGGTTGTAACTGAGAATGTTCCAATCCCGATGGCATATTCTTGTTCATGTAATGCTGCCGGGATTATTTGCATGTCATACAGATTGAGTAAGTATCACAAGATACAACCCTGGCACACACCTTCCCGGGATAGCATGTGCTAATGTCCTTAGAAAGAGATAGGTAACTCGCTTCTGAAGTCTAGAGAAAGAAGAGTTGTTGTCTGCCTCGGTGGAGGAAATGCAGTTTATGCTGACCCTTGGAGAGTTTTAAAAAGCAGACACAGGTAAGCGAGGAAGAGACTTTCACTCAGAAATGCACAAGCAACAGTGAAAGAAACTGTGGAGGGAAAACTTCATTTTTCTAAATGTTGAGTATTTTTCGAAGTGAAAAGGATTGTGGTAAATTATGAAACAGATTGGTTGAGATTATTTGTGATAAGCAGTGGAAAGGCTTTGCTTTTGAGTTTTAATAATAATTTTGAGATGGGAGATATAATACGAGAATTCCTATGTCCAAAATATTCATGTGATTGTGTTCTAATCCTTGAGTGTCTCATCATTTTGAAACCTTAAAAATGTGGATATAATTATATTTTAATCTTTGTCATTTATATGAGGAGCTTCAAAGGGTTTGTAGAAAAAGCCATTTTCCCCATGAACTTTTTGAAGTGTCCTTATAAATTCACATATATGCTAACTAATTACTTCAGCAAAATCTGTTTAATATCTGTATTCAAGTTGTTGAGACAGGCATTTACTTATGTTCATAAGGTTTATGAGTCAGGAATTCAAGCAGGACGAAGTTTGATTAAAATATAACTATCTCACATCGGGCACCGAAGTTTGATTAAAATATAACTATCTCACATCGGGCACCGGGGCTAGAATGCCTTAACCGCTGCCTCTCAGCTGGGGCTGTGTACCAGGTGTCAGTACGTATCTTCCCCACACAGCTTGTCTGTCTGTCCCTGCGGGACTTACCACACGGCCCCTCTGTGCTGGAGCCCTGGAGTTCAAAGATCACATTCAATGACTTAGCTTTGGAAATCACACGATATGAACCTCTTTTGTACTTTATTGCTTAAAACTGTGCAGATTTAATGGCAATGGTAGGAGTGCCAAAAGGTTGTGACTTTAAAAAATGTTAAGACTGTAACAACTTGTTGTATTGTAGGAAATCTCTGCCCAGCTGATTTACAGCTGACTGTGTTATTGGAGACGTTAAATGAATTATCTCAGAGCCATCAGCCAGTTGAGAGACCTGTTACTTTTATCTCTTTCCTACATTTCCTGCATCTCAGTTATCTTTCCACACAACTCTTGTATCCAAGGTCCCTGGGTGGTGCAAACAGCTTGCCACCAACCTAAGGCTGGCAATTCAAACCCATGAGACATGAGCACGAAAGAGAGGCCTGGCAACGTACTTACAGAGAAAACCTTGGAAGAAGTTATCATCTAACATGGGGCTCCCATGGGTCAGAATTGACTTGAAGATAATAGGTTGTTGGTGGTGGTTTGTTTGTTTTCTGATAGACATTTATATTAGTAATACCTTTGTTTTATTCATTTTTATTATGATAGCTATTGCTCTTATCCCTATCTTCAGTCTGACTTCTTTTTACTACCCCCAAAATAATCCTTCTGAACCTGAATCTGAATGTGTCACTCCTTGACATGATGGATGGATGTATGGATTGTGATAAGAATTGTACAATCCCCAATAAAATGATTTTAAAAAACAAACAAGCAAAAAACCTTAAACATCACAGTAACATTTACAAGTTACAGTCATTTGGACTTGATATATTTGGAGACCACTATTCAGTCTCTTACAATATAATAAAAAGATGATCTAATCCCAATTATAATCTGAAAAAAAAAAAACCCTTACAGAAATTTTCAGTCACTTGAGGGTAAAGGTGAAGGCCATCTTGTGTTAAATCCCCTGCTTACCTCCTCTCAGGTCTTGTAAGGAGCTTCACTCACAATGTATGTGGCAGTTACACAACCCAGTGTGCTTTCCTGGGTTCTGTTGTACTGGTTGTGTTCTTCATCTCGACAACTCGCCTACTTTATCGCCCCGGGAACCTTTGTTCGTCTTTCAAAACTTGTTCAGGCATTACTTTTTCATCTAGAGCCACAGTTTTAAGGTCATATATTGTCAGAATAGACTTGGTGAAAATTAGATTTTAAAATGTAAAGAAAGAAGTGGGGAATAAAATGTTTTCTGTTTTAGAGCTAGTGGGTTTGCTAATATATTAGCTCTTTCCTTGCTGATTTTTTTCTCAATACAGATTTTGTATAATGTTTTTCAGTGACATTTCTTCAACCATTCTAGGTATGAGAGCCTTCAAAAAGTTTGTAAAAAACTGAATGAAAAACCATGGACTTTGTCTAAGAATTGTTAAAGCCCCTCCCGTATCCTTTTATTTTTCTCTGCATTGGTATCCTTGTTTCTTTCTAGATCTTTACTTTCTGGATGAATATTCTTCTTATTTCTCTGTTTGACTGCAGACTTCATCCCCACTTCAAACCCCACTGCACACAGAACCATGTAGGCTCTAAATGATGCGTCCTATGAGGCCAGACTTTTATCTGTTTCTTTCTATCCCGGCCATCAGCACATACCACTGTTAGTATACTAGGTGTGATCAGCAGCGATTTGAGTGCAGGAGAGGTGCAAACACTGGTTTGTGGAGGTAATGCGGCTCTGAATACGCCAGTTCAGCCAAAATGAACATACACTTTCGATTGTAAAAGTATTACAAATGGAGGGCCCCATTTTGGATGCATAGGATTTTAATGATTCTTTTCTTGAAGTCTATTTCTAAATAACATTTTGTATTATGTTAACGGTATTATGTTTATGAAGTTATTATTAGTTGGGGAGGAACTTCTAATTGTATAAAAGTCTTGATTTGAGATTTAAGAGCTATCATTTGAATTTAAGATGATGTCATTTCTGTGACAATTTTCTGATTTGCCATTTACTGTCTCTGTGATGTGTCTGTCATATTCAGTGTGAAAATGCATCCCTGAAAGAACAGATGGGGACTATAAATAAAGAACTGGAGATTACCAAGGAAAAACTGCACACTATTGAACAAGCATGGGAACAAGAATCTAAATTAGGTAACTGTTATTCTTCTGGTAATATAAGACCTGCTAGTAATTGTTTTTTCACTTAAAGTTCACTTTCTCAACCAGCTAAAAAAGACATGAACTCTAGGCATAAAGTTTATTTAGCAGGAAGTTGATGAATAACATCCTGTATTACATCCTACCCAATTTTTTTTCTGTTTGTAAATTAGATTTAATGAAATCATGTATGTTAAAAATGTGTGACTAAGCATGAACTATTAGAACCATCTAGTAATTGGTGTAACATTGGTGATAATTATGATATAACTATATTTTAAATATAGTAGCTATGAGTTAGAATCCACTTGATGCCTGTATAGTAATATCACAGTGTCTATTAAAACCATTTTTCATCAACTTTGTAAAACCCCCTTGTATTTCCTTATATGTTTTACATACTTTAATATGATAAATATTTACGGTATATATGCTGTATTCATGTAAGAAACCTCCATGGCTCTGTCAGCTTATCATACAGCGTATCATACAAGTCCATATAATCGGTGCTATGCATGAGCTCATTTTTGAAGCCATTGTGTCCGTTAAATGTATACAAAATCCAAATAATACCTATAGCTAGGGGATCCTATTTGGCGGTATCTCCAATATGGCTTCATTTTTTTGTGCTTTACAACTGGAGTACATGATTCTTTAAAATCGAGTTACTAGATTTTTATTCACAAAGTAGTGTAGCTCCAGTGGATACCTTCTCATACTAATTTCCTTTTAAGTGCACACACACACACACACACACACACACACACACACCAGAAAACGGCGAAAAGGTCCGCTGGATGGAGCTTTTGTAGTATGCATTTTTCCCATTAGACGAGTATCCAGCAACTTGGTCTGAGTTAGTGCAGCCAGAGGTGTTGCTTGGGAAGGTTCTCTATGTTCACGGTGAATTTTTTCGTAAAAGCAGTTTTACTTGAACCTCGTTTTTTGTGATGGCCGATTCAAGAGAACAACATGCGGCTGTGAAATTTTGTTTCCTGCTCAGAAAAAATGTCACAGAAACTGTTACGATGTTGAACACAGCTTGTAAGGACAGCGCTGTGTGAAAAATCCAAGTATACGAGTGGTTTTCTCGTTTCAAAGAAGTTAAATGTCAATTGATGACAAACTTTGTTCTGGATGCCCGTCAAATTCATTCATGTACTTGTGCTCAGGCCATTGAAGAGATGGGCAAGTTATGTGGACTATCTTGGAGCTCGGTTCAGGGAATTTTAACAGAAGATTTGGGAATGAGAAGGGCACTATGAAATTTGTGCCTTGGGTTCTGACTGACCAAGAAAAAATGTGGAGTGGAAACCTGCCGTGCTTTGAAAGAACAGCTCTGAAGCGACCCATACTTTCCCCCCAAGATCATTACTGGTGCTAGACAAGGTGCTATTCTTATGACCCCAAAGCACACATCAATCAAGTCGGGGGAAGACTCCATCATCGCCTTGCCCATGAAAAGCTCGTCAAGTGAAATCAAAGATCAAGACAATGCTCTTTTTCTTTTTTTCAAATGTAAGTGGGATAGTGCATATGGAGTTTGTTCCACCAGGTCAGACTGTTAATCAGGCATTCTAGTTAGAGGTTCTGAAAAGATTGCATAACAGTGTGTGACAAAAAAGGACTGATTTGTGGCAGACGGGGGACTGGTTTTGCCACCATGACAATGTACCTGCTCACGCAGCCATTTCAGTGTGTCAGTTTTGGGCAAAAAAAATAGCATGCCTCTCTTGCCCCATGGACCTTACTTACCTGAACTCACTGTAATTTGATGACCTAGAAGAGGTGAGGGGAAAAAAACACGAGCCATCTAAACAGATGAGTTTGAAAAATATTTCTATGAATGGTCTTGCAGCTTTGGCAAATGTATTAAGTGTAATGGGGAGCACTTTGAAGGTGATAAGGTTGTCTTGTCAAGACATTTAAATACATAGGTTTTGGGGGGAAATTCAGTTGTTTTTTGGATACCCCCTCATATGTATGTGTGTGTATTTATATACATACATACATAAATAGATGCATGGAAAATGGAATTAAAAGTCATTGAACTATATGTGTGTGTATATATACATGTGTGTGCCTCAGTGTGTACACACACACAAGTTTTTGAATCCCAGATTATGATATTTCCTAATCTTGGTGGCAAAGCAGTTATGGATTGGGCTGCTAACTGGATGGTCAGCACTTCAAAGCCATCAGCTGTTCCAAGGGAGAAAGATGAGGCTTTCTACTCCCTTAAGAGTTACAGTCTTGGAAACCCATAAAGGTCAGTTGTCCTATGAATTGGAATATATTTAATGGCAGTGAGTTTGTTTCTTTGTGTTTTTGTGTATACTAAACACTATAGTCCTGGTGGCATCATTGGTAGCCCAAGGTCAGCAGTTTGAAAATCAAGCCACTCCACCACAAAAAGAAGAGGCTTTCCACTCTATTAAAAAGTTACAGTCTTAGGAATCCACAGAGGGCAGTTCCACTCTGTCCAATAGAGTCACTATGTGTTGAAATCAACTTGAAAGTGTACTAAGTGCTTATTATGTTATTTCATAGATCTTATGAGGAACATATGTTTTTGTAATTTTAAGATTGATGGAAAACATAAATTCAGTGGGACCACAGATTACATATAGGCAACATATAGCAAAGCCACATCTAGAATCTAGGTGTGTCATTGTTCATAGTTTATATGATATCCATGCAACTGTATTGCTTCCCTATCTAGAATATCAGATATATCTACAGAAGGATTTTGATACATGCAGCATGAGAATTTATTTTATTTTGTTGTGCATAGGAAATGAATCTACCATGGATAAGACCAAGAAATCAATAACCAACAGTGAAATTGTTTCTATTTCAAAAAAAATCACAATGTTGGAAATGAAGGAATTAAATGAAAGACAGCGAGCTGAACATTCTCAAAAAATGTATGAACATGTCAGGAATTCATTAAAACTAATGGAAGAACGTAATTTTGAATTGGAATCCAAATTTGCTGAGGTATGATATTGTAATTAGTAATAATAAAAGTAACCGTGGTAGACTGTGTTAGTCCGGATAACTAGAGAAACAAAGTAATAGGCATTCATACATGTATCGGAAAGAACTTTATATAGAGACTAATTGTACATTAAGAAAACATCCCAGTCCATAAGGCCAATATTAGTCCATCTGTACAATGCTAGTCCATAAATTCCTCTTTAGACTCATGCAGTTATGCAATAATGCTGAATGCAGGAAGATCACAGGCCAGTGGGTGGAAAATCTTGTGGATCCAGTGGTGGTAGAAGCATCTCAGCGCTGGCAGGTCTCCACATGGCTCCTACAACTCCCAGGGCTCTGGCTGCATCAGTGTAGCATGTGGCTTGTAGTCAGGATTATCTGGCAGGAAGTGAGTTTATGTCCCGCCTCCAGTGAGCTATTTATCTCCTTAGCACCTATAATCAAGCTGTGACCTGATTGACAGGGTAAACTCAACCCCTTCACTCTCATGTCTCAAATTGACAACAGATTATGTAACTTCCACATAGACATAGGTATTATTGTTTGTTTGTATCTCTGAAGCATACTAATATTGTGCCTTTATTCTATATAATAAGTAAATATTTCTTTTTAAATCTAAATGATTTATTTCTTACTTTATACTATTAGATTAACTGTGAAAATGTTATTTGTAGTAATGGAACTACCTTCCAATACCATTCATTCATTTATCAAATACTTATTTACTGAGTGCCTATTGCATGTTAGGCATTGTATAGGGTCTGGTTCTATAGCAGTGAAAGATAGTAATCCTTGCCTTCAGGACATTTATAATTTATTAGAAGGGTTTGAACATGTGTTATATGATCAGAATGATTAAATTCCTTGCTATATAATGTAGTTTGCCAATATTCAACAATTTATGACAAAGTATCATGCTTATAATTTTCATTTGCTTACCTGTAGAAATTAATCTATGTTCAAAGCCATATATAACATGTTTATTTTAAATCAATATTAATAAACTTTTATTATCTTTTTTAGATTTACTTATAGATGATACAGTATCATTTTAGCCAAATGTAATGATTATACTGGATTCCAAACAAGAAAATCAGATGTTCAGATATTATTACTAATGAGTTATCTAGAATACTTGTGTTACTTGAATTGAAATACAAGTAGGGTTTCTAAAATTGTTTTAGTATCTGAATCAATGCAAAGAAGGCTGAAGTACTTCAAAAGCTAAATTCCAAGAGGAACATTGCTAAAGCAATGTATCTGAGCGTTTCTTTCATGTTGTTTTCCTTAGCTTACTAAAATCAACTTAGACGCACAGAAGGTGGAGCAGATGTTAAGAGATGAGTTAGCCGACAGTGTGAGCAAAGCAGTCAGTGATGCTGACAGGCAAAGGATTCTAGAATTCGAGAAGAAGGAAATGGAGCTCAAAATCGAAGTGTCCAAGTAAGCATGACTAACATGCATGCATTGTTAGTCAGTTTGGTTATTTGTATCTGCTCAATTTGTCTTGGAGAAAACTCATGACAAAAGCCCACATGGAAGATCCTTACTGCCAGCTAGTACTGCTTTATGTTGTTTTTTCAAAATAAGAACAATGTTTACCACTATTAACCAGGTTGATATTTTAAGTGGTTAAATAATAGGATTGAAGACGAAATGAGTTCTCAAGAATTATTGTTTTTCGGAATCTGGATAGGAATGTCAGATCACATGATTTTGGAATCAAGAGCCTGGGAAGCCTAGTCTTTCCACATACTGTTTTCTTGTGGAAGGAGCCATCACTTTATTTACTTAAACCTAGGTTTCTGCACTTAAATAAGGGCATGATAGTGCCTCTTCTACTTCTTTTATAAGATTTTAAAAACATAGTGAAAAGGTCTAATTTGGACTCAATTTACATTTCTTTGGACTAGTGCTCTATACTAGGTAGACCCTGTGCCAGCTATTAAACGTACGCCAACTCATACAAGTATACCTACTAGCCCTGAGATTATACTTTTGTTTTCTTTTTTTTGGTGAGGAAATAGGCACATCCAGCGAGAAAACAAAATCTATATAAATAATAAATCCTATGTCCCTCATAGATGCTCTATTCTCAATCTCCTTTTAATTAGCTGTTGTTACTGTGTGCCTTCAAGGCAATTACTATCTGTAGTCCTGATAGAAAAGCTGGGCTACTAACCCAGTGGTCAGTGGTTTAGACCCACTAGTTGCTCTCTGGGCAAAGCCTCCACCCCCCCCACCCCCCCCAAAAATAACCACTCGCTGTCATTGAGTTGATGCTGACTGATAGTGACCCTTTTGGACCAGGTGTAGAACCACCCCATGAGTGTCCAAGACTGTAACTGTTAATGGGAGCCGAATGCCTTATCTTCTACTTTTGGAGCTGCGGTGGTTTCAAACTGCTGGCCTTGCGATCCCAGCCCAACATGTAACCACTATGCCACCAGGGCTCCAAGAGATTATAATCACATTTTGTTGAGCCTTTTATAACCCTTTTGCAAGTTTCACTTTTACTTAGCCTTTTTCTTTAAGAAGAATTACTTCTATTTTTCTATCCTCATAAGTCTCATCTTTTGAAACAAAGTAATGTATTGTGATATTGTCCTATTTTATTCGTAAAAGATTTAAATAACTAGAATGAGAATTCATGATCAATATAAGATTATTACCTTATTTTAGCATATCCAAAACTAGGGTAGTATTGCATAGGGGAGAAAGGTTTGTTGGCCATATGCATTTGGAAAGTGATACAGTTTAGTCTGCATGAAATAATTGTCTACTTTAGAATTTCCTCTATTAAAATGTTCAATATAAGTACCGTTATTATGGAATTTCAAGAGGGAAATATGTTGGGAACGGAAGTTTTCACAGAGTGCTTCATATTTCTCATGGAATTATGTTTCTTGAAACAGTTTAGAAAACCTTGTTTTGGTATTTTATATATAGAAGATATGCAGGAAACAAATGACTTTTCCAGTGATCTAGAAATTTGTAACTTTAATATGCTCTTAGCAAATATAATTAATTATTCCTGGACTATTTTATCACAACCTAGACTCAGAGAGATTTCTGATATTGCCAAAAGGCAAGTTGAAATTTTGAACACACAACAACAGTCCAGGGAAAATGAAGTCCAGTCCCTCAGAATGCAGCTTTTAGACTATCAGGTATGTACCGTTTGGGCACTTTTGTAGATGAAGTCGTCTTTTGTCCTAAACTCCCAGTAGGTATTGAAATGATTTCTGAGTTTTATAAGAAGATAGGCCAACTAGAGGATTTCATTATTCTTATTACTTGGAACCAAATCACACAACACTTTCAGTTTAAAATCGGATTCATAATAGAAACAACAGTGATAACAACAACAAAATTTAGGTGTCTGTTGCTCCATTGTGCTGGCTATTGCCCAAAGTGAAGACACAATTGAATAGTAGTTATTCATAATAATATTTTCTCTTATAATTTTATGTAGTTTTATATATCCCTATATAAGTTATTTAGGATTAAAAGACAATAACCATTACATTATGTGTATAAGTGTTATTCTAATACTGTAATTTGCATATAGAAGTTAAAAATTAGAGCAGTTTTCCAACTTTTTGTTAGATGCCCGAGTATCGGTATAGAGGCCATGGCAGACTTCCTCTGGCTACACAAAGGAGAAACAGAACCCAACTCTTCACCAATCTGAGGCTTATAGTCAGGAGCCAAAAATCAGACATGTCCCCACCCTCCCTCCTGCTTTTACACTATTCTAATACCAGCAGTACCTCCTACAACACCTTACTTCTCTCCTGGGTTTGATAATGACCACACAGATCTCACAGACAATACATACAATTAAAGGGCTTTATTAGGGAAGTTAACGGGTTATCATAAGTCAGGATCATACAACATTAAGGATACAGTCTTTGGTTCATAGTAGGGCCTCTCCTTGGCCACAACTACACCTTTCTCTGGTTCTTACCCTTTCAGCCACATATCCCCTTAGTTTCTGCTTGGTGGGCCAGAAAGCCTGCCTGCAGCCCCTTTCCCTTAGTGTCTCATAGTCTCAGCAGCATTACCCCTTGGTTCTGCCTTCATGTGGCTCCGTTGCTCTGTCTCAGGCTCTCTAATGCAGTAGCTTCTGGTGCCTCTCATCTCTGCTCCCTCCACTTCAGGAATGAATCTTGAACCAGTTCCACTAGTGACTTTTCTCCTTGGATGAGCCCAGAAATTTCCTCCCTTCTTAATACTGAAATGGCTTCTTACTTCTAAAAGGAATTCCTACTTCTGAAATAGGCTCCTTCTTATCTGGGTATAGCAACCAAAACTCGTCAATCCCTTCTCGTAGTAATTCACTCAGTCACTGGTCCCGCCCAATCATTTGGTAGGGGTGCACAGATGTGATTAGAAGAGCCATGTTAAGCAATTTCATTTCTACAGGGAGGGTAGAAGGAGAGTGGGTAGGAAAGAGGGAACCGATTACAAGGAACTATATGTGACCTCCTCCCTGGTGACGGACAACAGAAAAGTGGGTGAAGGGAGACGTCGGACAGGGCAAGATATGACAAAATAATAATTTATAAATTATCAAGGGCTCATGAGGGCAGGGGGCGTGGGGAGGGAGGGGGAAAATGAGGACCTAATGCCAGGGGCTTAAGTGGAGAGGAAATGTTTTGAGAATGATGAGGGCAATGAATGTACAAATGCGCTTTACACAATTGATGGTGTGTATGGATTGTGATAAGAGTTGTATGAGCCCCTAATAAAATGATTAAAAACAACAACAACAACAAAGCAATTTCATTTTGCTGCAAGGCCGTAGTTGGACTTTAAAATGTTTGTTTCTATGGTTTTACCTAGGTAATTATTTATATAAAAGAAGGATTAAATCCTATTGGAGCTAATATACATTGTTCTAAAATTTTGTTTATTATTTGTGGCTTTAAAACCAATATAACTTTAATTGGAAAATGTTTAAACTTTGTACAAAAATGCATTTTCTTTTAATATTAGGCACAGTCTGATGAAAAGGCACTAATTGCCAAGTTGCACCAACATATTGTCTCGCTTCAAATTAGTGAAGCTACTTCTCTTGGTAAGTTGGAGTCAATTACATCTAAACTGCAGAAGACGCAGGCTTATAATTTGCGCTTAGAGCAAAAACTTGATGAAAAAGAACAGGCTCTTTATTATGCTCGCTTGGAGGGAAGAAACAGAGCAAAACATCTGCGCCAAACAATTCAGTCTCTACGCCGCCAATTTAGTGGAGCTTTACCCTTGGCGCAGCAGGAAAAGTTTTCTAAAACAATGATTCAACTACAAAATGACAAACTGAAGATCATGCAAGAATTGAAAAATTCTCAAAATGAACACAGAAATATGGAAAATAAAGCACTGGAGATGGAATTAAAACTAAAGGGCTTAGAAGAGTTAATAAGCACTTTAAAGGATTCCAGGGGAGCACAAAAAGTAAGATTAAATTTTACGATTAATATTTCTATACACTATATATGTGCATGTAAGACAATTTATTTGTATATGATTAAAATTTTAATGTATTCAGTTCTATGCTATAGAATGTATATGTGTTAAAAATGACTTTTCTGAACATAGATTTTGCTAAAAATGTTTATGTTGTATGAGAGAGGTTTGAAACTAGACCCCATGTATACATAAATTTAGTACTAATTGTAATTATTTTAGTTATCATTGCAGTAAACAGCAGTGGAGGGCCGTATCAGACCTCCACTAGCCTCCCTATTGCCATGAGGCAAGGGTCAGACATACCTCCAGGCTCTTTCTTCTGACATTAACTGTACCCCCCGCTCCACTCTGCATTTATGCTGGGTTCGATAGTTCACTTCAGTGGCCACACAGAACTTAGAACACAATTGTTCTGAACACATCGAACACAGTTGTTCAATTTGTAACAAAGAAAATATATTCTGCATATCAGATATTTACAGTACGATTCATAACAGTAGCAAAGTTACAGTTATGAAGTAGCAATGAAAGTAATTTTATGGTTGGGGGTCACCACAACATGAGGAACTGTATTAAAGGGTTATGGCATTAGGAAGGTTGTAAGTCACATTGGTAGAGTGAAATTTCATAATAAAGCTCTTCTACCAAAGATTTTTTAACTTCTACCAAATAGAGTATGTATACACTAAGAGAGAAGATTAGAAAAAAGAGAGAGTGAGAGAGATTAGTCAGTTGCTGTTACCAAGCCTCTGGCTAGAGGAGGGGTGAGACATCATTCAAGCAGCAGTAGAGCAAGGAGACGTTGGACCTCCCCAGGGCCTTGGTCGAGCAAAGTTCAACATCTCTCTCTGACGTGGCGGACGCCTTGGAGACCAGATGCATCAGAGACAGTGGCACAGGACTATTGGGTATGTTCACATCTGGCCAGAGACTATGGAATTTTGGGACAGTGGCAGGAGGGCTCCTTCTTGGCCCATGGAGACAAGGCCAAGGGATCATGTGGCTGAGAGACTGAGAAACTTGGCTAGCATGTTGCAAAGACTGAGAACGGGAGGGAGACGCTTGATGGCTGGATGAGGAGAACAATGACTAGACCCTTCTTGTTTGCTGATGCTAAATCGTGTTAACCTATTGACTTGTGGTCAAAGTAGGTGCCTCGGCTGATATTCGGGTCGGCTTATACCCAAGTATATATGGTAATCACAAAAACAATTTACTTCTAATTATAATAAGCGAAAATTTGTCTTGAAGCATGATATAGCGTGGGTAACAGTCTTAATAAAACAACAGTAAACTACATTGCTACATTTTGCGACAGTATGTGTAAAAAGCCAACATCAGTGGGAAGGTTGAGATAGCTTCTTTCTCACCAGATCAGAAAGTCTCGGGGCAGTCTTTGCAAGAGCACAACGAAGATCATCTTCCACAAATCTACTTCTGTATTTAGGCTTGATAACCAATAAGCTGGAAAACCCTGTTTCACAAAGATATGTTGTTGGAAATGGAAGAAGAAGGCACAACACAGTCTATGACAGGAAAGGATATTACTGGGAACACTTAATCCAGAATTTTGTAAGTGGCATTGTAGAGAAACCAGTTCTCGCTGCACCACTGTTAATAAGTTCAATGACCTCCTCTTGTGCTGTCTCAGGAGCATCTTCAACTTTAACTGGGAATGGGCTTCTGGCAAGTGCAAATGGGGTGTCAGGTAGATTTGGAGAGTATGACGACATTTCATCTGCAAGTACGTGCAAGTGTTCTTTCACAGAAATTATTGTCGTAATCCTTTTGTCTGGTTCAATGTCATGTTCCTCAAAGAAAGCAGATAATATAGGCAACATGCAAATTTTATTTTCATCCAATTTTTTTTTGCTAAAGCTGAAGTTTCATTTGGAATGATTGGATCTTTTCAGACAAATCGAGGCATGTTGCATTTGGTTCTTGCAGTGATAAATTTAACTCATTCAAGATGGCAAAGATGGCAACCAAGTAAGCTATTTACTGCAGTTCACTTTTATTGCTGAAAAGTGCTTTGAACTGTGGTCTTGCTTTTAATAAAAAAGTATTTTGAGTTCATCACGAAGCTCAAAAGTCTTAAAACTTTTCCTCTCGACAACCATCTCACTTCAGTGTGAAATAGCAAAGCATTATTGGGCGCATCCAACTCATTGCATAGTTGTGAAAACAGTTGACTTTTTAAAGTGCTTGCCTTTACAAAATTGACAGAACTTAATACACTTTTCATTACTTTTTGTAACTCTTGTAGCAGCGTCATTATTACTATTATTTGCTGATGAAGCATACAGTGAGTTCCAATGACTTTTGGTGACTCATTCAGTGCCAAACATTGAAATCTAGATCGACATCCTAGCACAGCTGGAGCACCATCTGTGCAAACACCACAAACCTTTTCCCAAGAGATCTTATGCTCTTCCAGAAATGAACCAACTGTGTCAAATGCATCCCGTGCAGTAGTTGTCATTTCAAGAGTTTTGCAAAAAAGAAACTTTAAAGTCACCATCATTACTATACCTCACGTAAACCAGTAACTTAACAATTTGCAAAGTCTGTAGATTCATCAAGCTGGATACTAAATATTGGAAGTGGAGCAGACTTAGTTTCCTGGATTGCCTGATCAAGATTATCAGCAGACATATCATCTGTTCTTCTGCAGACTGTCATTAGATAAGGAACTTGCACTCAATTTCATAACAAATTTGTCTCCGTTCATAACTCCAACACTGTCCTTGGCTGCTGGCCACAGTAAGTCCTCAGCAAACATGTGAGGTTTTATAGCTCTGGAGTTTCTGAGTGCCACCAAATACGAAGCTTCAGCGGCTGCTACGTTTTGTTTGTGGCACTTGTCACCAACGTCAAGTCTGGCTTTCTTGAATCCATCAGCTTTGCTTCTCAAATAGCTGGTATCCTTGCCGGCAAAGCTCGGATGCTTGTTATCAAAATGGCATTTTAGATTGTTCAGCTTCATAGATTCAGCTGATAGAACTTCACAAACAAATAACACTTTGTGGTTTCTCAATTCCTGCTGTAATTATTGAGGTAACAGCATACTGTAAAAAATCCTCACTATATTTCCTTAACGTTTTTCTCTACACGATCCATTGTCATGGGATGGTTTGCTAATGAAAATAATATATAACAATAGCTTAAATAATACAAAAGATGATACATGGCATAGTTCAGTCAATACAGTTCATTAAAATTTCCTGTGTTGTTTTCTTCCATACCTCTTACTATCACAAGGGGGCAGTATTCACATCAACCACAGCTGAATATAAAAAGACCGATCAGCATCCAGATTAAAGTTCCATGGTACAGATATTTTTTTTTTGGCAGTAGTTGATGATTTTACATTACACGATTTTACATTTACCCAGTAATTATATTTCATGAAGTGTTATTTTACCTCCAATACTGCTGCTTTCAACACAATAGCTGCTTTTAACAGAGTAGCTACTTTCAACACAGCAGCTGCTTTCTACACAGTAGCTGCTCTCTACACATGTGTGACTGGTCCACGTAAGTACATTATGGTAACCAACCCTGTCACATAAACCTGTATTTGAATGGGGTGTATGTAATGGGATTGGCGCAATGATGTCATCACCCTGGGTATTCGTATATTGGTTTATCTGCATGTGGGTGGTCCTGCCTGGAGATGGGTAGAGGAGCATTGTCTTGGTTCCTGAGACCATTGGAAATAGTGTTTTCCGATGGTCTTAGGCGGCCCCTATGTAAGGGACTTTCGACCCCAAAGGGTTTGTGACCCACAGGTTGATAACTGCTGCTCTACCACTATCATAATGGTAATTATTTGAAATATACTTTTCATAAATATCAACCGTTTAAGGTCATTTCTAAATAGTCTGCATTTATTTTTTAATAAAATTTATTTTTACTCTCACTTGATAGTAATTAAATGGAATATAGTTAACTAGCAACGGAACTATTTTCTCTGATCAAGAAATATTTAGAATTTCCTTATTTATTTGAAGTAAAACAGGTTACAGTATCTTGCATAGTAAATGTAGTACTTAAGTGTGATAAAGTGAATAAAAAACTGAAAATGAATGTTAATTATGAGTTTATCCATTTCAACATAATTTGAAAAAGCTTTTTACTTAAGATCTCACATATTCTCAGAGAAGAATCTCTGGAAGTTTTACATAAGCTTTGTTAGATGGCTCAACTAATGATAATTTTATGTATTATTTTAATGTACCATATGTTATAAGATGCCCAGAATATCAGCCGAGGCACCTAATTTTACCACAAAAACTGCATTCAAATGTGCTGAAAAACTCAGCTTATGCACGAGTATAATACAGTAGATTTAATGTTTTTCATTTTAATGAAAATTAATGGGATTTCTGTAACTAGGAATAATGGAGAAATCATTTATATAGCATTTACCTATATATGCTTAATTTGTAAATCTTCAGGTCATCGATTGGCATAGGAAAATAGAAGAACTCCGTCTTCAAGAGCTTAAACTAAATCGAGAATTAGTCAAGGATAAAGAAGAAATAAAATATTTAAATAATATAATATCTGAATATGAGCATACAATCAGTAATCTAGAGGAAGAAATTGTACAGCAGAACAAGGTTTCATTTTATATTTATTTTGATGTTTTTGGTTGAGACTTAAAGCATAAATATTGCTTGACTGACTATAGCTCCCATTATTATGTTATAAAATTTTCTGCATATTTTCTAAACATTCCAAGTATACATTTTTAATTTAGTTTTTGGAATAGTGGTTTTAATTATAAGCAACAATGCATACCCTTATATGTATAATTAATTTTTAATTTCACTATTAGTTATTTGACTTTTGACAGTTACAATATCTGCTGGTAGAATTAATGTTGGGGGAAAAAAGCAAGTATACTTCATAGACAGGGTATGCACATGCACATGAAAGCACATGCTTGCATCAGAGGTTTTATTATTTCTTCTCTCTCGAGTGCTCTTACCCCAGATACTCGTATTGTTTGTATAGTCCATACCGCTTTGACCAACCACTCCATTTACAACAGAAAATCCTACTGTCGGGATTTTCTCAATGGAGTGTATGTAGCTTCATTTTCCCAACTTGTCATTGCTTTTGTCAAGGTGCCTGTTTTTCCTCAGCATGTCGCTCTATTACATATTTACCTGCATACTTACTGTTTCTCCTTAGTAGTATTTAAGTTTAAAGGTAATAGAGACTTGCTTTTGTTCATTGCTTTGTTTTCAGTGCCTAGAATGTTTCGCACATATTTTGTACTATTAAATATGCATTGGATGAATGTGTGGGTAAATGGATAAATGTAAGGATTCATGAGTGGCTGCATTTTTTACTCCATATTTATCTAGCTCTATGATTTTGGACAAGTTACTTCAACCCTGAGTCCTTGTTTCCATACAATGAGAATAAGAATAATGACCTCAAAGGAATGTTGTCAGAAGTATATTAAAAATATATGCAACATGGGTATTACATGTTTGTGTCTGACACAAATTGGCGTTTTTCAGTTTCATGAGGAAAGACAAATGGCCTGGGATCAAAGAGAAGTTGAGCTTGAACGTCAACTCGACATCTTTGACCGTCAGCAAAATGAAATACTAAATGCAGCACAAAAGGCAAGAGTAATTCTATAGCATAATTCTATAACCACTGTAGCATATTTTGTGGCCTACAATGTTAGCTCATAGAAATATTTTCTAAAATCAGATCTAATTTTTTTAATCAGATCTAATTTCAGTTGTTACCTTTTTACATTTAAAATTTAAATAGATGTTATTTAAAACATAAATAAATGTTAACCTACATTTTGTTATAGCTGTATGTAAAAATTAACCTTGCTCTTCTCAGTGCTGTAACTGGTTTATAAAAAAAATCTTAATTCTTCACAGTTTGAAGAAGCCACGGGATCAATACCTGACCCTAGTTTGCCTCTTCCAAATCAGCTTGAGATTGCTCTAAGGAAAATTAAGGAGAATGTTCGAGTAATCCTAGAAACAAGGGCAACATGCAAATCATTAGAAGAGGTAACAAATTTGCATTTTAATCAGAGTACTACTAGGCATATTTGTGTAATTTCTAAATAGTACTTAATAACAAGGGTGGAGCAAATAATGATAAATAGTATCTGTTGTTAATTCTGCTCTCCTTTTCCTCCATCCTTTAATGCTTTTGGTAGCAGATATAGTGATTTTGAATTCACTAGTTATTCAGTCATTACTTTTCATTTTGGGGCAGACTGATCAGTAATGCTAAGCTTAAAAGGACAGACAACGGTTGTTTGGGTGTAGTGGTATGAGCAGTATAGGTAATCTGCCCCTCTGTAATGAAGAATTTAGTCTTTTCATCCTGGATTATTATTTTGATGTGCATGTTGTATATTGCATTCTGGGTCCATTTTAAGCTCATTCTTTTTGTTGTCTGGTAAAAAAGTTTGAAGTTAGACTAGAAATTATTTTATCAGATTAATCCAGATATTGATGTGGTGATGACATCAAATCTACCTTCTTTATTTAATTGTCTAGACAATAATATAAACTAAATATAATACTCATTTTACTTTCCATAAAAACATTTACTAGATACATATTTTTAATTTGGCAAGTCAAATTATACATTTTTAAATTAATTGAAGAATCATTCTTTTTCAATTATCACTCAATTTTCTTATGTGAATTATCACTCTAGTGCTTGATTTAAAATATCTACATTAACAACTGCCCTCTTTTTTTAATAAGCAGCAGGTATTATCGTAGTGACTCATTGGCTGTGGACCCTAACGGATCCATTTTTATATTTAAGTGATTTTAGTGCATTGGTTTTCTAGTGGTTTGGTAGTCACTGGACTTAGATAGAAGGAATGTTTTATGAAACTTACTTTCTCAATCCAGCACCACTCATTTCTAGTGCTAAAACGGCAAGATTGACGTAAGTGCAATTAAACTTCTTCTCTATTACAAGGACATTTCTAAAGTGTAATAGTCTTTTAACTAAATAAGACGGCATATATTTCACTACAAGCGTGAGTTACATAGAAATGCAAATTTAACCTTATTTAATATCAGGTGAGTATTATGAGTATAATGTGAAAAGTAAATTTAAACTTCTACCTGAATGAAGGCTGAACATGATGGTGGGACAAGAGGAAAGTAAAAGGAACTAGAGGAAAGAACTAGGAGGCAAAGGGCATTTATAGAGGTCTAAATACAGGCATGTACGTATGTAAATATATTTATATATGACGATGGGGAAATAGATCTGTGTGCATATATTTATAGGATTAGTATTAAGGTAGCAGATGGACATTGGGCCTCCACTCAAGTACTCCATCAATGCAAGAACACTTTGTTCTATTAAACTGGCATTCCATGATGCTCACCTTCCGGACACGATCACTGAAGACAAAGTAGGTGCATAAGCAAATGTGGTGACGAAAAAAGATGGTGCCTGCTTATCAAAAGATACAGCATGTGGAGTCTTAAAGGCTTGAAGATAAACAAGCAGCCATCTAGCAGAAAAGCAACAAAGCCCACATGGAAGAAGCACATCAGCCTGTGTGATCATGAGGTGTCGATGGGTCAGGTGTCAGGCATCTAAGACCCAGAACAAAATCATACCCAATGTGAATTGGGGAGGTGGTGGTGGTGGTGGTGGTGGCATGGAATGGAGACCCAATGCTCATCTGTAGACAGTTGGACATTCCCTCACAGAGGGGTCACAGGGAACAGATGAGCCAGTCAGGATACAGTATAGCACCAGTGAAACATACAACTTTCCTCTAGTTCTTTGGTGCTTCCTTCCCCCCACCATCATGACCTCATTTTACCATACAAATCGGATTAGACCAGAACATGCACACTGCTACAGATCAGAGCCCGCAACACAGGGAATTCAGGATAGATAACCCCCTCAGGGACACAGTGAGAGTAGGCATACCAGAAAGATTAAAGGAGGGTGTCGGGGGAAAGGAGGAATTAATCACAAAGATCAACCTAAACCCCCTTTCCAGGAGGACGAACAATGGAAACGTGGGTGAGGGGCGATGGAAGTCGATGGAAGATATGAAAATAATAATCTATGACTTACCAAAGGTTCCTTAGGGAGGGCGGGCAGGGGAGGGGAAGAAATGGAGAACTGATATCAGGGGCTCAAGTGGGAAGAGAATGCTTTGAAAATGATAATGGCAGCATATGTGCAAATGTGCTTGACTCACTGATGAATGTATGGATTGTGACAAGAGATGTAAGAGCCCCCAGTAAAAGTATTTAAAAAAATTTTTAATTCTGTTTTTTCCTTTAATCAAATAGTCAGATGAAATGTTTAAAGGAAGGAATATGCTTCAATAATTAATTGTACTTTGATCATTGCAGAAGCTAAAAGAAAAAGAATCTGCTTTATGTTTAGCAGAGCAAAATATTCTTTCAAGAGACCAAGTAATCAATGAACTGAGGCTTCGATTGCCTGCCAGTGCAGAAAGAGAAAAGCTCATTTCTGAGCTAGGCAGGAAAGAGATGGAACCACAGTCACAGCACACATTGAAAATTGCTCATCAAACCATTGCAAGCATGCAAGCCAGATTACATCAAAAGGAGGAAGTGTTAAAGAAGTATCAGAATCTCCTAGAAAAAGCCCGAGAGGTATTTGATTATACTGTGTTATGCTGCCTTATTTATTGCCATGTTTTTAGTCATATCCAAGCCATTAATCTGCCCTGATATGGTAGTTTATTTCTGACTCTCAAGTGATTCTATTTAAGAATTGTTACTTTTACATGATTGGATTACAGACCTGTCAGTAAAACTGAGTTTTCATCTGTACATTGTTGTTCTCTTATTGACTAAGTCAGAAATGACTGCAAGAGTAAGATTTTATACTTTTGAGAAATAACAATTAAATTTGTAGTTAAGAATTAAAGCAGGAAGTTATAATGGAAACTGTTACACTGGTTATCATTTAAAATCAGATTTATGGTTTATAATTTTATGATTTGGGGCTTTGCCTGGAAACTTGAATATTTGCATAGGGAGGTGAATACTAGTTTAAATATAGTTTAAATAAATAGATACTGATCATGAGGGTTCACTATCTTGGGATTTTAAAAGATTAAAGACAAAATATTTAAGATCCTTAGAATATGAATTCATATGAATCATAATTTAAGGTACACTTTGATTTGTTGTAAAACAGGAGCAAAGAGAAATTGTTAAAAAACATGAAGAAGATCTTCATTCTCTTCATCATAAATTAGAACTACAGGCTGATAGTTCACTCAATAAATTCAAACAAACAGCTTGGGTAAGTATTTAAGAACTGTGTTCTAATTACTTACTGCTTTTATATTAAACATTGTACTATGTTTTAGGTGAAAGAACTCACAGCAAGTTAGTTTCCCATTCAGTAATCTCTTTGATATTTTCCGGGGCAAGGAACAAATTGTGAGTTTGTTGCTTGTTCCCTGGGGATGGCTGCTACGTTTGCAGTGTCTGAGTACTCTCCCACTTTCACCACGCGTTCTCAGTTTCCATCCCACCTGGCCGTCTCCTATGTACTGTTGGCCAAACACTGCCTGGTGGTTCTCCTGTACTTGATTGTTCTATGAGAACATTCCTCATGAATGCTATTGTTTATTTTATACCCTCATCTTTTATTTGGTTGAAGGGTGACCTCTGGGGTGGCTTCACTTCTTGGTTAAAATGGTATCTCAGAATGTTTGTCTTAGGGATTCCTCTGTTCTCTATCATCTCTATTGATCCTTTTTTTTTTTTCAAAAAACATTTTATTAGGAGCTAATCCAGACATCATATCATTCCCTCATGTACTCATATAAAGCAGTGTTGTTCAATTGCTACCAAAATCAGTTTCAAAACATTTTCTTCTGGAACTCCTTCACAGAGCTCCTTTCCCCATTTCTTCTGCCATACCCGCCAGGAGCCCTTATGATAGTCGTCGTCTCTGTAGATTCATCCCTCCTGGGTTTCATGTACTGAAAAACATTCAAACACGCATGGCAAAGAGTCAAGACGGCTTCCCACAGGACCAACAAAATATAACAAAAGATTAACCCTAATATGTGGAAAAAACAAACACACAGAAAATATTAAAAACCAGGCGATGCACAAAGTGTATCAGAAGGGAGCTCATGGGACAAAGTTTTAACCATTCAAGTCAGATGTATCATTTTAATATACCATAGTCATCTCTCCAAGACTCTAATAACCAGATTATTCCCATCCCTCAATTATAGTTAGAAGGAAATCACTGGAGGCTTATTCCCTGTGTAGATCTTGTAAGTGTATTTTGGACTTCCACTAACTTCTATAGCCTTCTGCACTCCAGAATCTCATAATTTAAGCTCTGATACTATTCTCATGTGGATTTGGATTATACAATTTACAATCCTTGGATCGTGGATGTTGGTGTGCTTCTTCCACCTCTCAGTTAGCTGTCTGCTTGTTTGGAAATAAACCTGTGAGGCCCCCAGCACTATTCTCTCTCATAGCACGCTCAAGCACCCGTATCTTCTTGTGCTTCCTTCGTGAGGGCAAGCGTGTAGCAGGACCTTGTCAAAAGAATTCATTGTTCTTAGAATGGAAGTAGGAGTAAATGCGAGCCCATAATTTATTCCTGAATCTTCTGTGTTTTTTATCTGCCTGTTTGTCTTAGGTTAGAGAATCTTATTGATTACCTTCTAGAGCACAAGGATCTTCTGTTTATCGTGTCATTGATTAGCTCATGGTATTCATTTCCAAACATTATGAGAGATTGAGTAAGGGTAGACTAACACATATTGACAAACCTGGATTATTCACTTGTACAGAATAAATCTTTATGTGATTGGATGCTATTTGCACAAACAATGGGAATTGGTGGTTAGGCAAAACTTAAAATAATATTTGCTGACAATGTCAGCCACAGGACTGACAGAATAATACATATCTTAATAGGGCAAGTAGGACATTGAAGTAATAAGTAAATGATAGTCTTCCTACTGACAGTTCAACACTGGGTATAGCTGTCTTCTGCTTTTTCACACCATGTGAATTTCCCGTCTTGAGTCCTCAGATTGCAGGAGTGTATGAGGTAGAGTCTAGTTCACCTAGTTGAGTTTCCACATCACATCACTTGTTAGGGCTTTTGGAGCACGCCGTGTGCCTTGAAGATCCAGGATCCAATGTCCCAGTGTTCTATGGTACATGGCCTGGGCCGCCAGGGTGTGTACAGAAATGTGGACGGATGTGGCTTATTCGGAGCATGTTACTAGGCATACTCCACCTTTGGGGTCCTGAAAAGTATTGTTAGTCATTTTTTTTCTCCACTCGGAAATTGGTCCTCCTTCTTTTCTACTAATAGCTGTGCACTTGTCTTTCCACAAGGGTATGCTCCCTTTCCCATCAGTAGCTCTCATCACTCTGATAGAATGTCTGCCAGTCTGGAGGGATCTCTATCAGCCAGTAAGCAGTCATCCTCCCCTCCCCCTCTCAAAAATCTGAGCCCAGCTGAAGTGAGGACCCCTCTGCCAAAGTAGCCTTCAGGATACACGCGTAGAAAGGGTGGTGCCTGTCTGGTTCGTCGGCAACTGTCAGGCTCAACTACTGCGCCGCCAGGCCGCCCTGGCCAGCAGACTGGATGTCCTGAAAGCCCGAGCCTGCTCCCATCCTGCAGCAGGGATCTCACACTGTTTGCCCTTTTGTGATCAACTAACTTCACCCAGAAAATGGTTGCCAGATCCTGCCATGTCATGTTTTTTGAGACCATATAAAATCTTTCTTCTTTTATGTATAAAACATTGGCGTCTGATAGGCTGCCATGACAATCTTCTGAAAGCACAACCCTGACTTTCCACTCCCTAAATCCAGGCCTCCCATAACTCACCATTGTCTGTCTGCAGATTCATTTTCAGATTCCCTAGTGGGAACTCACAACTTTTCATGGTCTGATCTCAATCTTCTTCAAATTACACGTGTTATATGTTTTACCAACAGCTAACTGGTTGCTTTATTTGAGTAAACCTTACTGCTTTTAAACTTTCTGATCTGTATATGTGAAATGACCTTTCATGTCTTAACTCGTGTAACTTTTAACTCATTAATTCTTAAATAAGCATTTATTGGTTTTTAACCAATTAAATAAACCTTCTACATGTAAGTATTTTGCTAGATACTAGAATGCCAAGAATAAAGCCTGCATTGCCAAATATTCCGTTTTACTTAAACCTTCATTGCTTAGTACATTTCAGGTGAGATAATACGTTTTCACCATTTGATGAGCCAAGTTAAATATAAGATAGCATTGAGTTCTACATGCCCATGGCTGATCTATTCATATTTCATAGGACTTAATGAAACAACCTCCTGTTGCAGTCCCCACCAACAAGCATTTTATTCGTCTGGCTGAGATGGAGCAGACAGTAGCAGAGCAGGATGATTCTCTCTCTTCACTTTTGATCAAACTGAAGCAAGTGTCACAAGACTTAGAGAGACAAAAAGAAGTCACTGCACTAAAAGTCAAAGAATTTGAAAATGTGAAAGTAAAGTAAGCCTGAGAAATGTTTTGGTATTATAGTAGACCAATAGTAATGATGATAAGTGAATACTAAATGTAAGTGTTTGCTGTGCCAGGCACTATTCCAAGCATGTTCATATATTACTGCATTATTTTTGTCATGACAACTTAGGACATAGGTTATTATTTTCTACATTTTCTAGAGAGGAACCCAAGCCACAAAAAGGCTCAGTAACTTGTCCAAGAGGGGGTAAAAGAGCCACATTTTAACCTAGTCAGTCTGACAAGCAGACCTTTTTCTGCTTGTTTTTTGCACTACATGTGATGCTTTTATTGAGCAAATGTATATTGAACTTTGTTTAAAAATACTGGCCTGGAGGCATATCTTTTTTTAAGTACAATTTTCCTGTTAGTGAGCAAGTTATAAATGTAGACACTTTCTTCTCACCTTTCTTGTGGAGTAGTACGAACAACTTATTTGTGTAACATTCCACTACCATTTTTCCATCTACAATTTGTCTTGTCTCTTTGCCGAGCCAATTTTGGATCTGAATCATTGAGTGACTGCTTAATGTTCTGGTGCGCTTCACTTTCTGGTTGTCTCCTGTGGTTTCAAGCACCTTCCCCGGCTTGAAGGAGATCACAGTGTTCTTAAAAACACCTTCTGTTCTCATGTCACTACCTTTCCGCTGACCCTGATGCTGGCACTCAGTGTCACTAGCTTAACCGCATTCCTGGCTGCAAAAGTCACTCCTGTAAGAATAGAGCAAGCGACACACCTTGAAACATGGAGGAAGAAGTGTTAAAAATTTGGAAAGCAGTTTTAAAAGCATGCATATGTTCTCTAGTGTGGTTTCAGAAAATTTGTTGTAGCTGCTTTTATGATGTCTGTGGTCTCTTGGCTGAGACAGAGCCTTCCTAATCCTATTTCTCCTGTTGTCTAAGTATAGTCAAGTTCATCCCCACTCAGAGGGAGCTACACCCAGCAGAAACGCGGCCTCAACCTGCACCATCCTCACAAGTGGTGCTATGTTGGAGCCCATTGTTGGAGCCGCTGTGTCAGTCCCTCTCACTGAGGGCCTTCTGCCTTGGTGCCGACTCTCCACTTTATCAGACATGCTGTCCTTCTCTAGCTATGACCTGTCCCGACAAGACAGCCGAAGCGCAGGACATAAAGCCTGGCTGTCCTTGCTTTTAAGGAGGATTCTGGCTGAACTGAAAAGGCAGACTTGTTCATTCTTCTGGCAGCCCATGGTACTTTCAATGTTTTTGGCTTTGCCAACACCTCCATTGAGAGGTGTCAGTTCTTCTCTCTCCCGTATTCATGCAGTGTTAGCATGCATGTGAGGCTATTGAAAATACCATGGTTGGGGTCAGACATACTTCAAGTCTAAACGATGGCATCTTTGCTTTTAAAAACTTCAAAGAGGTTTTTGACAGCAGTTTCCCAATAAATCAGCAGCGTTATTTTTATCTTGTATCAGGTTTTTTTAAGGAGCCCTGATGGCATAGTGGCTAGGAGTTGGGCTACCATCCACATGGTCTGCAGTTTGAAACCACTAGTGGCTCGTTGGGAGAAAGATGGGGATTTTTAGTCTCAGAAGCTCACCAGGCTGTCACTAACAAGTCACTAATGTGTCAGGTTCAGCTCATCAGGTTCTTAGCCCTTTCTAAGTTTCGGCTTCATCAGGTATAAAGTTGAAATAACAATACTCTCCCTGTTCTTTCAGGTTATTCTGTGAAAACTAAATGGTACTGTCTATGAATATAATTTGAAAATTATAAAGTAACATTTAAATGTAATTTTTTAATTTATTGATATGTAATACATACACCTATAACACAGGCACAGTGGAGGCTCAGTAAATATTTGCTCTTGAAAACTTGGCTATATTTTGTTATTAACCATTAGGATTATTGAGTATTAAACAACATTCTTTATATTACAGATTCTAAATGTTGCTTAATCAAAGTATTAGAGCATAGATTTTAAACACTAGTTCATTTTAGAATCATTATAGAAATGTGTCTGTGAACCTTAATTTTCTTATCTGAAAATTGAGAAAATTGAACTACTTAACACATCGATCTAAATTCTAAAGCCCTTTTTATTCCTTTGAATTTTCACTCCTTGTTCAAGATGCTTCTGGCTAAAGTAACCCTATTTTTGCTTTATATAAGATATGCTAATTTTAAGAAATAATTCTCTAAAATTAACCTGGTTTAGCAGTAGCATGTTAACAGTTTTAGTCGTTATTCTACAGTATTGAGTTATTTCATGAGATTTTATTTTTGGTGTAATGATTTCTTGCCGTGTTTTACAATGTAAATGTACTTGTGTTTTTCTATCTAACACCTAGATATAGGAAGAACATCTTTATTAATTTTATTTTTTAACCACATGAAATATTTGAAGTTGGTTTTCACCTTAGTATGTTATTTAAACCTTAAGATTATACTATTACTTATATTTTCTGTATTGACATTGGCATATATATTTTAATACATCTATTTAATACATATTTTAATACATTAGGAGACTGATTGTTTCATTAATTTCAAAATGATTTCAAATTAGCCTTCAATTTTTGACTATAAGTAACAAGACCCAGTTTAGCATTTATTCATGATTTAGGACAATCTTCACCTTATTAGTCAAAGTTTACTAATTCACTTCTGCATGTTGATGAACTTACTGATCCACTGTCTGTATATCCAGAGACCTAGACGTAGTTTAAATTATCAGATTGATTAATGCTTAATGAGTACTAGTTATCAATTGAAAAAATAAGTTTTCCTGGTATCCATTTCTGTGTGTGTGTGTGTGTGTGTGTGTGTGTGTATGCATATTGGCATAGTAGTAATGGCTTTGGAATTACAAATTAATGCAAGTGACATCTGTCAAAGTTTATATTCAGTCTTATGTCAATATAGAGTGATGGTTCTTGACCAGGGTATTTTGCCCTTGAGGGGATATTAGACAACATCTGGAGACAGTTTTATTCTCAGTATTAGGGAATGCTACTGGCATGTGATGGGTAGAGACTACACATCTTTATGTGTAGGGCAACCTCTAACAACAGGAAATTGTTTTGTCAGAAATGTCAACAGTGCCATGGTTGGGAGACCTTGATGTAGGAGAGGTAACAACTTACTGAAGCAGTATTGCTGAAAGTGATATCTTCTTTATAAGTCACAAAATGCAATAATTTTAAAAAGTAGACAAAACTAGAAGAAAGGAAAAGTTTATTTTATGCTAAGCTTAAGAATCGTTAAGTCAAGAAAGGAATTGTGGAATTTTTTTTAGATTTTGGTGTTTTCATCAAGATTTAGATTGTGAAGATATTTAGCATCTAATAGTTATTATTTATAAAATTTGTGTCAGTTAAAAATATTAAGTGCTACTCTGTTGAATACATTTGTTTGCTTATATTAGACTCCAAGTAAACCATGCAGATGAAGTTAAAAAAGTGAAAACAGAAGTGGAAAATTTAAAGTCCCTACTGGCTCAGTCACAAAAGGAATCACAGAGTTTAAAATCTGAAATTCAGGCTCAAAAAGAAGCCAATTCTAGAGCTCCCACAACTACAATGAGAAATCTAGTAGAACGGCTAAAAAGCCAATTGGCCTTGAAAGAGAAGCAACAGAAAGTAAGTAACAGCTAAATGTTATCAACGTGTAGAAACTATGTGTGGTAGAGTGCTTTTATAAGATGCCACGATGATTTAGCAGCTGGTTGTGAATTGGAAGGTTAGCATTTCAAACGCAGTGGCTCTGTGAGAGAAAGGACCTGTTCTGTCCCCATTGCAGGGCCAGCCTGGAAACCTCGGAAGCATTTCTGCCAGGACCCCCAGGGTGGCCCTGAGTCAGCACCAACTTGATGACATACAGCTTCTTTTCAGAGACTGTGTGTGCATATGAAAAGATGGCAGTGTTGTGATAAAATGTATAAACCTATCTAATCCCATTAATCAGAGCCCTCCACATAATACTTTTAAGCAAGTTTATTGATTGTTTTTTATAAGTGTAAATGTATTCCAAGTTTTGTTTTTATGTTGTTTGGCATTCATCTGACTTGTGTGTTACCTGGAGCAAATGCAGGGAAAACTTAATTACATAATCTTCTCTTTCCTATTGCCCCCAAATTTCAAAATAGTATACCACCAGTAACTATAGTTTAAAATCCCAGTAGTAAAGAGGAGAAAATTATGTAACTGCAAGGTCAGCAGTTTGACACCACCTGGGGCTCATTGGGAGAGACAAAGCTTTCTGCTTCTGTGAGCAGTTAGACTCTGAAACCCACAAAGGCAGTCACTGTGATTCAGAATCTACAATCAGCTTGATGGTAATGATAGAAGTCTTAACTTCCATGAAGGAGATCTGGTTTCAGTTATTTACCAACAAACCTCATATCCCTAACTACCAGGAGAGGCTTACATGTGGAAAGGATGCTGATCAGGTTTCAGCAGAGCACCCAGACAAAGACAGATTAGGAAGAAAAATTTAGTAATCTGTTTCTTAAAATGTAAACTCAGTGGATCACAGTGATCCCATCTGCAAATGATCATGGAGGAGACACCGGGTTAGGAAGCAATGTTATTCTTCTGTGAATGGGGCCATCATGGGCTTAAGGCCCATTCACTGACAACTAACAACAATCATGAAGAAAAGAGAATAAAGAAGTGAGTCACAAAGATTGTCTTGTAGAAAGGAGATGGCCAGCGAATCTCTTTGATTTCTTAATTTATGCTAAATATTATATTCTTACATTGTTTTAAAAGGTATTGTATTTTTCTTAAATATCTTTTAACATTGTTGGCAAATCGTATACCTCTTCCAATTCTATAACTTTCCTTGTGCCTTAAATTCTATTAATTTTAAATAAAAGAATATAGATAAATATCTAAAATTGCCTATTGGAAAATAAAATATGCTTAATATTTTAATACAAATTGTTACATTTAATGCTGGGTTCTCAAAATCCTTATTGTAAAAATTTTGAATTCTCAGTGCCAATTTGGAAAGAATTAAGCCCAATTATTAAAAGAAATTAATTTGAAAACTTAATTTTCTAATTTGGTTCACTGCTATGTTTTAGGAAAATATATTAAGCTATAAAGCTTGCTTATTTTTATAATTTCCTTTTAAAATATCAATTTGTTCAAATTTATAATATGATTTTTAGGCACTTAGTCGAGCACTTTTGGAACTTCGGGCAGATATGACAGCAGCGGCTGAAGAACGTATTATTTCTGCAACTTCTCAAAAAGAAGCAAATCTCAATGTCCAACAGGTTGTTGACCGCCACACTAGAGAACTGAAGGTGAGCACCAACACACAAAGTACTATAGCGTGTTGTTCCTGAGTATTTCTTTAGCTTATTAATTCAGCCATAATAAAAACTTTTGTTCACATGATTAAAATTTTGTTAGGTTTTCATTAAGGGTAATATCTTTTTTTTTTTTTGGTGCCCTCAATGTGCACATGGTTCATTGATTGTAAAGATGGAAAAACAAATGTTGTTTTTTCATGTAACAAAACTTTAGCTTAAAATTTTCTTTTTTTAACAAAGATTGATGGTTAATACTTTCTATTGTATCTTGCTTTTGTCATTGATAAATGTGGAAGACTCATGAGTAAAATCTGTCTCTCTTATTAGTTACAAATTGAAGATTTAAATGAAAATCTTTTAAAAATGAAAGAATCACTTAAAACAAGTAAGAATAGAGAAAACACCCTTGCTGATAATGTGAATGACTTAAACAATGAATTGCAAAAGAAACAAAAAGCATATAATAAAATACTTAGAGAAAAAGATGGAGTCGATCAGGAGAATGATGAACTAAAAAGGCAAATTAAAAGACTAACCAGTGGATTACAGGTAATTTCATATTTAATTCAGCTAATGTCTTTGATTTATAAATGATAGGTAGAACTTTATTCCAATTTTTAAATTTTATCTATAATGTTTGCTGAAACTGACTTTCAAATGATTCTGATATAACTATCAGTGAAATCTATTGTATCTTACTAAAGGATAGAAACTATTGTCATTTTATATTTATATATTAATAATGTCTAAAAACATGTCTGTTGGTACCCTCAGAAAGTTTCTGTTAAAGGAATGTTAACTGTATATTTTGTTTGATTTTCCTATTAGTATGTAAAGATACTTATATATTTTTCAGGGAAAACTTCTGCTTGATAATAAACAAGGCTTAATTGAAGAACTCCAAAAGAAAATTAAAAAGCTAGAAAGTCAGCTTGAAAGAAAGATGGATGAGGTTGACTTAAAACCTATGAAAGAAAAGGTACGGAAAGAAAAGTCCAAAAACCAAACTCACTGCCATCTAGTCAGTTGTGATTCGCAGCCACCCTATAGAGCAGGCTAGAGCTGCCTGTGAGTTTCCAAGACTGCCATTGTTTATGGGAATAGAAAGCCAGCCCTTTCTTTCTCCCTTGAGTGGCTGGTGGTTTCAAATTACTGACCTCGTGGATTGCAGCCCAGTGTATCACAACTACTCCCCCAGGCTCCTTGTCTGTGAAGAAGCATAGTGACTAATAGACTGAAAAGTGATACACTAAATTAATAAGTAGTTAAGATAGAAGTAATACTATCTACATTATCTATTTGCCAAGATTATTTTGACAATTAGATTAACATATTTTCTAGGAAGCATTAGTTTACCTTATTCAGTATATATTATAATTGATAAATAAGTTATAAAATGTAATTTTAAATAATGCTAGCAGTTTTTTTCTTTGTTATTGCTTACAGAGTGCTAAAGAGGAATTAATTCGGTGGGAAGAAGGTAAAAAATGGCAAACCAAAGTAGAGGGAATTCGAAATAAATTAAAAGAGAAAGAGGGAGAAATCTATACTCTAACAAAACAGTTAAGTACTCTGAAGGATCTTTTTGCCAAGTGAGTGTACATTTCTTTATAAAACTAATTATGTATAAGGTCTAGTTTTATTTACCTTGAAGTTGTAGAGTTTTATCTTATTTTATAATGTGAGAAAAGATCTGCTTTTAATTTCCAATTATAGCCTATGGTCCACTAATTTTTGTGTTCTTTGAAATGTTTTAAATATATTTGAAGAATTACAATTGGAGCTTCCTATGTTTTAATATAAATTAGTTCAGAGGATTCAGAAGATCTACCATATAGTGATCTGGTATTGAATAAGCTATACATTAGTAAATTGCACAAACTTAATAGTGAAGTGTGTCCTTTTCATGCTTATATCTGAAATCCCATAGAGCTGATAAAGAAAAACTGACTTTGCAGAGGAAACTAAAAACAACTGGCTTGACTGTTGATCAGGTTTTGGGAGTGCGAGCATTGGAGTCAGAAAAAGAATTAGAAGAACTGAGAAAGAGAAATCTTGAGTTAGAAAGTGACATAACATATATGAGGTAAGGTATCACATGGAATGTCCTCTCCATATATAATGAGGAAAACATGGTAAATTTTACTCATTAAAATTTTTAAATTAGCTTTATAACTTTATTAGTGTCTCTTTAAAATATAATTATCTAATTGAATGCTGTGTTCCAGATCTGATTTGATCAATATATAGTATCCATTTTAGGATAACATCCCACACTTAGTTTAGTAATATTTTCTTAATACAGTATGCATTTGTGTGATTTTTTTTAAAATCATTTTATTGGGGGCTCGTACAAGTGATGTTTGTTTTTGGCTATTCATATTGAGCTTGTAACATTTAACATCTCTAGGTCCTCAACATTTCCTCTAAATTTTCCAACCATTCTTTCTATATTTGTGTCTTTGGTGATACTAACACTTCATTCCTTTTTTGGATAAACTCTTTTTATGAGTATGCGAGCGGATACCCCCCTCCGGAAAAAAAAAACCTGATTTTTTTTTCAAAGCTACCGGTATGTATTTAAATTTTGCAAAACCACCTTAATCAACAAAGTGCTCTCCATCGCACTTAACACATTTATCAAATCCGCGATCCCATTCTTGGAAACATGTTTCAAACTCATCTGTTGGATGGCTGACAGCATCTCCCTCATTTCCTTATTTACCTCTTCTATGTTGTCAAATCGCTGCTCGTTCGTGTCCTTTTTCATTCACAGAAGCAAAAAGAATTCACATGGAGTGAGGTCAGATGAGTCAGGTGCATGAGGCAAGAAAGGTGTGCTGGTTTTTTGCCAACAACTAGCACATTGAGAGAGCTGTGTGAACAGGTACGGTACATTGTGGTGGTGGAAAAGCCAGTACCCTGTCTCCACAACTCGGGCCTTTTTGTTGCACACTGTTTTGCAATTTTTTTCAGAACCTCGAAACAGAAAGCTTGATTAACAGTCTGACCTAGTGGAACAAACTCCAAATGCACTACAAGTATACATTTTCATCCTACAAAACCACCACCCAGTTTTTTTCTGTTTCTTAGGGGTAACCCCCTCGTGTGTATTCAGAAAAAATGCCAATGTCCTAAACATGAATAGGTTATTTAACACCAATGGAACGTATTACTTGGTCAACAGATTGCTCTCTGGAGCCCTGGTCGGGTGGTGGTTATATGTTGGGCTGCGATCGGCACGGTCAGGAGTTTGAAAGTCCCAGCTGCTCTGCAGGAGAAAGACGGGCCTTTCTGCTGTGAGGAGCTCCAGTCTCGGAATGTCAAAGAGCTGTTCTCCCCTGTCTTACGTGGCCACTAGGAGTTGGTATTGACTTGATGGCAGGGGGGTTTATGTGTTTGGACCTTTCTCCAAAGTTAATAAACACCCAACATCATTCATTGATTTTGCCAATTAATTTTTATGAAAATTTTATGAAATCAAAATTAATGTGGTTTTTTTTTACTAGGTTTAATTAAATATTATGATTTGGAGACTTAACTATGCTGAGTTTATTCATTTACATCATTGCATAGTGTACATTATGAATACATCCCTACTTTATCCATTCTAATATTGATGAGCCGTAGTGGCATAATGGGTACTCATTGGGCTACTAACCACTGGGTCAGTAGTTCAAATCCGCCAGCTACTTCTAAAAAGAATTAGTCTTGGAAACCCCGAGGGGCAGCTCTACCCTGTCCTGGAGGGTAACCCTGGGTCAAAATGACTCAGTGGCCGTGAGTCTGACTGAGTGTTGGTGAACATTGGTTTGTTTCAGGTGTTTGACTCTGAGGAATATAGCATGGTCGTGAACAGGCTTGCTTTTGTCTTTTGATGCATTTATGGGTACGTTTCTCTTGTGAGACGACCAAGAAGTAGAATTAGGTTGTATGATTTATGATATTAGAAGATAATACAAGACAGTTTCATAATGGCTAACCTCCTAGCAGTAGATGCCAATTCTGATTGTTCCACAACTTGGTCAGTATTTGGTATTAAATTTCAGTCATCTTTGCTGTTAAGTGCTGTTGAGTCAGTTCTGATTGTGTCCCTATGTACAACCGAACAAAACATCACCCACTCTCACACCCCCTCACAGTTCTTCTTATGTTTTAGTCCATTGTAGCAACCACTCTGTCAAAATTCTTTTTGTTTTTGCTGCCTCACTACCACACATTAATGTCCTGTTCCAGGGACTGGTCACTCCTGATAACACGGCCAAAGTAGGTGAGATGTGGTCTTGTCATCCTTGCTTCTAAGGAGCATTCTAGCTGTCCTTCTTCCTAGACAGATTTGCTTATTCTTTTGGCAGTTAATTCTTTTGGAAAAATTCGTTGTTAACATCATATTTTAAATGCATCCCTTCTTCTTCAGTCTTCCTTAATCAATGTCCAACTTTCACATGCGTGTAGGGCAGTTGAACATACCATGGTCTGGATCAGGCACACCTATTCCTTCTAGTAACATCTTTGCTTTTCAACACAAGAAGTCGTCTAGAGAAGCAGATTTACCCAATGCAATGTGTTCTTTGATCTCTTGACTGCTGCTTCCCTGAACACTGATTGTGGATCCAAGCGAGACAAAATCCTTTTCTCTGTTTCTCACAATGTTACCTATTGGTTCAGTTGTGAGGATTTTATAAACCTTGTACAGTATATTGTTATAAAATTCTTAATTCCTTTTCCTCCTCCATGTTTCAATACACCAAAATGGGAAATAATTGAAGTTCTTACAGTAAAGCGTCTGTGGTTGTTTATAGGACCCAACAAGCTCTTCCTCGTGACTGTGTGATAGAAGATTTACAATTACAAAACAGATATCTCCAAGAAAAACTCCATGCTCTAGAGAAACAGTTGTCAAAAGGTGCAGATTCTAGGCTTTTGGTAAGTGTCCATTTCCCTCCCACCCCTTTTTTACTTTTCCTCTTATAATTTATAAGACAGGAGTGAAATTAGTGACTTCTTTTATTTGGTCAAGAATTTTTTCCCTTCAATATTATTAATACAGTAAATTTGGTTTTTATTCTTAGTAGGTTCTATTGTATATTAACTGCTTTAAATCCTTTCTTGTGTAATACCAAACTACTTAAGACAGCACCAGTCATCTCTCAGTTTCTCTTCCTGTGGTGGCTTGCCTATTGCTATATTGTTGGAAGCTATATTACCAATATTTCAAATACCAGCATGGTCACCCATGGTGAAGAGGTTTCATTCAGCAAGTTTCCAGGCTTAGAACAGACTAGGAAACAAGGATAAGTGGTTCACTTCTGACTGTCTTAAGTACCAGTGGGAAATTGCCGTACATTGGGCCAGAAGATGAGCCCTTCAGGTGGGAACACACTCAAAATATCACTGGGAAAGATCTGCCTCTTCAAAATAAAGCTGACCTTAATGATCCAGGGGTCCTCGAACTTTTTAAACAGGGAGCCAGTTCACTGTCCCTCAGACCCGTTGGAGGGCTGGACTATAGTTTAAAAAAAAAAACTATGAACAAATTCCTATGCACACTGCACATATCTTATTTAGAAGTAAAAAACAAAACAGGGCAAAAACACCTGGCAGGCCAGGTAAATGTCCTCGGTGGGCCGCATGTGGCCTGCGGGCCGTAGTTTGAGGACGCCTGATGAAGACCTTCATTTGCTGATGGAATATGATGCAAAATGAAAGAAACAGCTGAATACATCCATTATTAATCAGAACACGTGATGTACAAAGTATGAATTTGGGGAAATTGAAAGTCATCAAAAATGCAAGACAATAAAGATCAATTTCCTAGGCATCAGTGAACTGAAATGGACTGGTATTGGCCATTGTGCATTAGACCGTCATGGGTTACTGTGCCAAGAAAGACAAAATTCAAGAGGAATGGAGTTGCATTTATCATAAACAAGAACATTTCAAGATCTGTCTTGAAGTAGAACCATGTCTGTAATAATGAGAGGTTCTGTAATCTAGGACAACTGGGTAATACAACTGTTACTCAAACTTCTGTACTAACCAGCTAAGCCAATGATGAGTGAACTAAAGAGTTCTACTAACTTCTGCAGTCTAAAATGGATCAAACAAGCTATCAAGTACATTTCTTCAAATAACTTATTTGAGAACTAGTTGGTTATAATGAGTTGAGAACTAGTTGGTTATAATGAGAACTAAAAATGTACATAGATAATAACCCAAGATGTAGTCTAGCCAAGAGAAATGTAAATATAGGTGAGTGATTGCTTTGGCTCAAGGAAGTAAGGAAAATTTTCTAAAGGAGGAACAGGTTCAGGCAGTTCTTTTTGACTGGAACTTTTTTTTTTTTAAGCATTTTTATTAGGGGCTCATACAACTCTCATCACAATCCATGCATACATCAATTGTGTAAAGTGTATTTGTACATTCATTGCCCTCATCATTCTCAAAACACTTCCTCTCCACTTAAGCCCCTGGCATTAGGTCCTCATTTTTCCCCTCCCTCCCCGCTCCCCCCTCCCTCATGAGCCCTTGATAATTTATAAATTATTATTTTGTCATATCTTGCCCTTTTGAGGCAGTTTATTTTTTGGACTGGAAGAAACACCATAAAATTGTATGTAATTATGAAAGTATATGTGGAGGGTGTAAAATCATTTTTGACTTTTCTGTTTTGAAACTGCATTTTTTCCCCTCAGGAACTTTTATATTCTAACCATAGTTTATATTATCTTTAATGGTTGCTCTCTCATTCGTGTTAAGTGCTGTCTAGTCTGTTCCAATTCAGTGTCCCAATAGACAACAGAATGAAACACCGCCTGGTCCTCCATCCATCCTGGCCCTCCACTGCCACCCTCACCGTTTTTTGTTAAGTTTGAGCCTATGGTTACAGTGACTGCATTAATCCATCTCATCAAGGGTCTTTGTTTTTTTTCAGTCACCCTTTACCAGGCATGATGTCCTTTTCCAGTGAAAAGGCCTCTCCTGATAACATAGCCAAAGGACATGAGATAAAGTCTCATTATCTTTGCTTCTAAGAACCATACTGATTGTACTTCAAGACAGATATGTTTGTTCCATAATTCAAACACATATATTCTTTTTTTTCTGAAGGGCTTTCCAATTCCCGCATTTTCTTTTAAGAAAAAAATTTCCCTCTGCCATGAGATCATAGAGCTTGATGGTGACTAGCTACCACTACTATTTTTATCCAAGTTTTAGTAGAAGAATCTTTGACCAAAAGGGATGAAATCTAAAATAGAATTTAAAATTATAATGGATTCCAGATATTTGGGAACCATGACGGCTGGGTGAACCCCTGAAACCGTTACCCTAAGATAATCTTTATACCTTAAAACAAAAATCCTGTAACTTCTTAAAACCAAGTAATATTTTATCTTCATCAGTCAAGAATGTTGCACATTATGCTCTTTTGCCAAAGATTAGATTAGGAAATTGGGGGGACAATAAGTCTGTGTTATGAGAAAGGAACCACTCAGAAAAAGAGGTGAGAATAGTCGTACAACTCAAAGAACGTAATCAGTTTCACTGAAGGGTCCTGTGTTTAGGTGCTGTCAACTTGGTTCTGATTCGGAACAGCCTGGGTACAACAGAACAAAACTGCCTGGAGTACTATTATGTACAAGGTGATCACTGGCCAGTTTCCTTTTACAAGTAGGTCACCAGGTCCTTTTTACAACTTGTCGTAATATGGAAAGTCCACTAAAACCTGCCACTCGAGGTGGCCCAGCTGGCATCTGAAATACCAGAGGCATAGCAGCATGAAATACCAGCATAACAGCAGCATGCAAACCTGTCATAGAGCAGACCGACAGATGAGAGTGGAAAGTGTACATGTATAAATTACTGAACAGGTGTATATTCTGCTATCCTTTCTCAAAAGTAAAATTATTTTTTAAAGTTTCCTTTTGCAGTAATTTCTCCTATTCAGTATATATTATCTGGCCTTTATTCACTTATTAATTTTTTTAATGTTGAACATCAGAAACATAGCAGTTTAATAAGTTATAATGTATATTAAACTTATTATGGATTAGATGAAAGTTTACAGAGCAGATCATTCAGTTTTACTTTCAATGGTTCATACACATGTCATTTTTGGCATTTATTAAACCTTAAAAATATTCCAATCTTTATTTTCCTGAAGGCTTCAGGAATAGAGTCCAATGATCCTTGTCAAAGAGAACAGGCGCTTCGGAAGGAAAACTTGAAGCTGTCATCTGAAAATGTTGAACTAAAATTTCAACTTGAACAAGCAAATAAAGATTTGCCAAGATTAAAGGTAAATTTAATTTTATTACAGGTAAGAAATCTAATTTGCCATAATGTCTTGTGAAGAAAAAGGTAGAAAACCAAATTTGCTCCCTTAATAATTATTGGTTTAGGGCTTACTTTGTTTTTATTGGCCATTCTTGTAAGTACCAATAAAGAGCATTCAGTAAGTTTTACCATTCTTTTTCAATGGCTGTCGCTATGTTAATCGTGTATTTGCTTTATCTCTTAGAATCAAGTAAGAGATTTAAAGGAAATGTGTGAATTTCTTAAAAAAGAAAAAAACGAAATTGAGCGGAAGCTTGGTCACGTTAGAGGGGTGAGTATTCAATATGATATGCTACATGTTTTGGGTTCAGAAGTGATTATCCAAAAATGAGAGAAAAAGTTAAGATGTATCATGACAGCTAGCCTAGTGCCATCAAGTCAACTCCCAGGCGTAGTGCCCGTGGGCCAGAGCAGAACTGCTAGGTGAGTTTTCTGAGACTAATGATGTGCAGGAGCAGTCATCCATCTCGTTCTCCCATGGTGCAGCGGAAGCTTTTGACCACCTGGCTCCGTCATCACAGTAGGTATGTGCAATTACTAGTGCCTGGGATTCAGGTTTTCTTCTGCAGCATCCACAGTAGATGGCCATCGAGGAAGAGGACAACTTCCGCGGATCGATGGGCTCAAGCACAATGCCAGGCTGGCACTGTGCTGGGTCGCTCTTCTGTTGTACTATGAGCCTCTATGAGTGGCTCCACTCAGTGGTCCCAACAATAGCAACAAGAAAGACATTGTAAAATATCACTGTGCTTTATGCAGTGTTCCAAGTTACTTAATCAGGTCAGATCTTATAGGCGTTTTATTTCACCTGTTTTCATTGCGCATTCCTTCATAAAAACATTTAACTTCCATGAATTTGTTTGCTTTTGTGGGAACTACTTACTGCTCGTTGGGCCAATCCAGGCATTTTCTAAGTATAAATGTGTTTTCTATTTTGTTTTGTCTTATTTTCCTTCCTTTTTCTTTTCATCTTATTTGGTATTCCCTTTTTTAAAATTAAATAATCATTTTATTAGGGGCTCATGCAACTCATCACAATATGTATTTCATTTGTGTCCAGCACATTAGTACGTATGTTGACTTCATCATTCTCACGACACCCGCTTTCCACTTGAGCCCTTGGTGTCAGCTCATTTTTCCCTCTCCTTCCCCGCTCCCCCCTTCCTCTGAACCCTTGATAATTTATAAATTATTATTGCTTTATCATATCTTACCCCATCCAACGTCTCCCTCACCCACTTCTCCGCTGTCCGTCCCCCAGGAAGGAGGCAATATGTAGACCTTGTCATCTGTTCCCCCTTTTCTCCCTCACCTTCCCTCCACCCTTCCGCTATCGCCACTCTCTCCACTGGTCCTGGGGGAGTTCATCTGTCCTGGATTCACTGTATTTCCAGTTCCTATCTGTGCCAGTACACATCCTCCAGTCCAGCCGGATATGTAAGGTAGAATTGGGATCATGGTAGTGGGG